ATCAACTATAAATATACACAACCCCTGAATACATAGTTTTAAATTTTAACGTCATAATTAGGTTTAAAAATAAAGATAAATAATAAAGTTCAATTGTATCACAAAAATTATTGAATAATCTCTCAACTGAACGAAATTAATACACAAATAGCGAAACCCTGAATTTAAAAAAAAAAAAAAAAAAAAATACAATTCAAAGCATGTGTTATAGCTTAATAGCACACGGGTTTCGTATGGAAAAATAATATACATCTTGCAATACACACTTTCATATGTATCGTGACGGTTGAAAATATTATAYCAACTGATTTCAGTAATTATATACGGATGATTTTAATAAAAAATCTAATGTATAAAATGGAAAACACATGGGAATTGTGCTTTGTCCAAATGCGTAAAACACCCAAAAAATTACGATATTATAAAAAAATGAATTGCTTGGTATATTTAATCATTAAAAAATACCATAAAAAAAATGTAATGTAGAAAATGAAAAAATGAATGGCCTTTGAGCTATGAAAAGCCGAAGTTATGATTTGATGAAAAACTAAAATATTTATAATATACTTTCRCTATTTGGATATTATTCAAAATTACAYATGAAAACATTTCYCATTATAAATACCTGAATAATTTATGTACATTTTTATTTAACTGCAGTAGTAATTATACTAGCTTAGATTCTCATATTGTAGTGAATACTTTTAAATATAATGAGTATAATTGTTAGCTATTCCAAAACAATAAATGACTATTAATAAATGTGTACATTTTAGGGATGTCGTGTGTATTAGTATAAATTGCATATTATTATTTGATTAATGATTATAATATGTTTTGTTAAAGTTCATTAAATTTTTACAAAATTTACTTATTAATGTTACAAATAAGAATTATCAAAAATACTGTAAATAGTGCATATTAATATATATTTATATGAGCATTTTACAATGAACATATTCCATTCTTGCAGTAACAATAATGATTAAATATAATAATGAATATTAGTTACATATTTTTACAATATATGGTTAGTAATCGTTTAAAATAATCTTCACTGTCTATTGAAGTACCCTTCACATAATTCTAGAATTAATTTTATGTCACCGGTTGTCATTTGCGCATCGCTATTGTTAATTTTGACAYTTTTAGTAAGACARTTGCGCATCGTTCGATTTTTGTGTTATATATAATTTGCGAAATAGCCGTTTAAAAGGTCTTACATCATTTACGCATCAATATTATTTAACAATATAATTTAAAAAATAGGTGTATACCAAAAAGTGCTAGTATTGTTTTCTAACTTTGATCGTAAAATTTATACATCAACTTTCAAGGTTATATTATGTTATATTAGGTTATATTTATGTGTCCGAAAAAAAACTGTTACGCCTCAATAAAAATTGATGAACATCGAAGATCGGTGTTAGAAATACGTGGAGAACATATTAAATAAATTTGTGAAAGCGAAATTGATTCGATTTAACAACAACTAACAAGAGTTAATATGCGTGCAATTATGCTCAGAGCAGGGAGTTATTAAAATTGTATTTAGATATTTTTTTATTCGAATAAAAAATTATTCATATAATATAATATACATAATATATAATTCACATAATTCACATAATTCTGTATATATGTATACTTACGGTCATTAAATTATTTWAAAAAATTACATTAAGATAGCACATTCRCCAAAACCTGAAAGGTTATATATATAATATCATATATCATCAATTGTAAATCGTATATAAATGTATACTATATTAAATATTATAAGATTAGGACATATTATATATTGCACTGTATGGAAAGAGGGGCGGAAAGCATGAGAAATATAACGATTATTTAACTTATTTTTATAATACAATATAGTCGTAATACGGATATACTATAGTGCAAACTTTTTTTAGATTAAAAACACTATAAAAAGAAAACCTACAAAAGAAATATCAATGAGGCCTAACAAAATTATACGGAAAGCAATATATATGACGCTGATCATGTAACGGCCAATGATATTACCAATTATAGACAAAATATTTATAGAAAACGTAGGGAAGTTTTACCAGTGTTGCCGAAATCCTATGATGAAGTTATTTCACAATTAATGTCTTCCCAAGAAACACTTGTAACTTCCAAAAAAGAAAAATTTCTTTTTATAAATAACAATAAAATTATGTTATTAACTTGCAAAACAAATTTGAAAACTTTATGTAAAAATTCCGAACACATTCTGACAGACGGGACCTTTAGATATTGTCAAAAATATTTTTATTAATTGTACACTATTCATATTTATGAAAACGATCTATATTTACCCTTAGTTTATTATTTTTTAACCGAAAAAACTACAACTGATTATATTGAAATGTGGCAATCTTTAACAAATACGTGTGAATCAATGAATTTTATATTCAACCCTAAAACAATCAGAGTAGATTTTGAAAGGAGTACACATTTGGCAATTATACACGTTTTCCGCTAGGTATGCGATATATACGGATGCAGATTTCATTTAGGGCAAGCTTGGTATAGGAAGCTCAATCAAGATTTTCCTTACCTTAGAAACGAATATAAAACTAATACCAAAATCGGTAAATGGATGAAATATTTCTTTGGTTTATCTTTCATTTCCCCTGAAGAAATTTCTGATGTGTTTTGTGAATTAATCGAAATTGCACCAAATAGCGATGTATTGAATTTTAGCGGTTATATATAWGACAATTATATTCAAGATAATTTTTTATTTCCTCTARAGATGTGGGTAGAAAAATCATCAGATTTACCTAAAACTACAAATGGACCTGAGACATTTCATTTTCATTATAATGCACAATTTTACAGTACTCATCCTTCAATATGGAAAGTATGAAATTGTAGTCATTTTTATAAATTATAAATTATGAATTTAGTTAATTTAATAATTTTTTTTTATATATGTACTTAAGTAATAGAAACGTTGAAAAAGAAATACAGACAGTGACCTATGTTAAAATTAAAGATATTTCTATAGAAGTATTCATCATGTACAACGGGCACCAGAACGTCAAAAATTAGACTACTTTAATAAAATTGGCTTAAATATACTTCCGGTGAAATAAACAGGTTTCATTTTGTTAAAATAATGGGACATTATAATATACCCAGTATTGATTAATTATATTATTTATTTTAAAGCTTAATTTATTTGGATTATTTGRATTTATTTATTATATTATGATTTATGAAAATCATTATATTTTCAATTAAAAACTATTTTTTATACAATTCAATTTTTCAGCATGTTGATCCACATTTGATGTATGATAATTTGGTGCAGGTAAAACGGGAAATGCGCAAACGATAATTAGCGTTGATGTGCAAATGATGTACGATATTTTGGTTCAGGTAAACAGACGATGCGCAAATGATATACGGCCTTTTATGTTATGCGAGAACATAATATTATAACGTGATTTTTATTCTTTATTWTAATCGATGTTGGTATTTTTTTCATCCATTATGTTGTTTGGCCTTTTGAAATAAAATCTATTACCTACGCGCGCGATTRCGAATTAATACAAACAAAACAATGGTATTTATTTACCAGCATTAAGAATGTGCCTCTCTTGCGATAATGTTTGATCGGGAACGAGTCGCAGCCGYACACTCAACTCGTCTGACTTGGCTTCAGCTCCAGCCACCTTTGCAGTACATTTTACGTACATAAGTTTTTTGTTCATGTCTACCCATTCCTTTTTGAGTGGAAACCGCAGTCCCAACGTGGAGTTGTAGAACGGGCCTTCAGATACTTCAGGAGTATAACGYTCGAGCAGGTAACTGTCCACCTGAAATGGCATACAATTTCGTTTTAATAATAACTATCGTATTTGAATAACATAACTAAAATATAATTATGCTTAAGTTGGACATATTATGTGAAAGTAATATGTTCCATTTGTAAGGAGTTTTATTGATAGTATATATATATATTAATTAAGCTAGTCGTTTTACGTTAAAATATATAATTACTCAACAAGATAAATGTACCCTTCATTATTATACGTATTTGGGGTTACTGCCTATTATAATGTTYTTATAAAATCAATTGATAGATTACAAGGAATTAATATCCATAAAAACATAATTGACAAAATAAATAGTAAGTAATGTATTGTAATATAATAATGAAATGACGATTGTGATGAATGCAAATATATTGACAGTTAGATAACTCAATTGATTTTTTGACTGGAAAATAATTGAATTTGAATTTAAAAAAAAAATGTTATTCATTGATGYCACAAATTCTTGAAATTATTTTTTTAACGTCTTGTACATAGTTACAAAAATACTAAATAAGATTATACTAATATTATACTACCATGTTGTTTGATATCGAGATAATGGTTTTGTCGTAAAAAACAAAACTATAATTTAAGTACAGAATTAAATACATTTTTATTATTTTTATTATTAGGTAATTAATTAATCCAGTGTCAACATAAGACCA